TCATGCATGATATATTTGCTACCAATAATCCACCAATGCACTTGTAAATGATTGACAATAAACCATGCCTTATGCTCCAGCTATACCAGAACCAAAAAGGACAGAAGTTTAATGTTCAAGTATTGACAATGAAATCATTAACTAACAGATATTGCTACCAGTGTGTTACACCTGCTATAGGTACATTAATTGTTGCATTTTATTAATTTGTGTGATTATGGGCCCGTCTTTTCTTTTTTGTGCATCTATTGTTTTTACCTGCTATTTTAGTTCATCTGGTTGTGTACATGATAACTCTTTTTCAAACTTTGAATTATTGTCAGTCATTATCCACTAGTTGACTGTAGTGAATCTATGTGATTATTGAATGTAATTATTATTCATTATTATTATTTGTTACCCGGCTGGTTACACCCAGGCGGCGTGCGCTATTGTTATCTACAGCTCCATGTGCTCTGATTTTTGTCAAATTTTCACTGTCTCTCGCTCCTTCTCATCTCTCTCTCTCCCTCTCCTGCTTTGTTGTTTGTTTACATAAGAATACAGTTTTTAATCCTTTTTAAACTCTCAGTGATTCTACTCAGCCTTAAAGCGTGCAAGGCACAGGTGTAAAGTACAGAATACACTACATTGACACATTAACACACAATATAATGAAGATTTATATTGATTTAATGGATTAAGTTTATAATGTTATCAGCTCCAAAATGCCTTTATTATAGGCTAAAATATAAAAAATCAAAAGCCAAGAAAAATGATCTGAATATAAGAGACCAAAAATCTTTGTCAGTCATTCTCCGCTCATTGACGCAATAGTACTCAACATGAATGAAGATTTATGGATCACGTTTTTATAATGTTATCAGCTTTATTGTAAATGCCTTTACTGAAGGCTAAAATATAAGAAAGCAAAAGCCAAGAAAAGAAAATTTCAAAACCTAGACCAAATATAAGAGACCAAAAGGCTTCTAAACTCCCTCTAGATCTAACAAGTGGAAAGAATGTTTTATATTTTATTTTAATATCCAATTTCCATAAAAATATTGAACATCCAGTTACCAATACAATTACAGAGTGCATGAATAAGAATTGTCCTCCAAAATAATCATGATACAGAGCTGATAAATTTGAATAATGCAATTCACTTCCTATTAAAAATATTTTGCAAAGAAGATCCTTTGAGCAGGCATGTATACACATCACAACTGAAGAGTCATTTCATTCAACTCACTGCATAAGACAGGCAGACTGAAGTATCAGTTGCTTTATCCTTCAGCTCCAATTATAGACTTAGATATGGAGGATCATAATTACAGTCAATAGTTAAAATTCTTAAAATATGGCAGCCTTTATTCACATGAAGCACATGGAGCAGGGTATAATAGCACAAGGGATGAGGTAAAGAGTGCAATAAAACATGAGATTTAAAGTGCCGAGTATTATATTGCAATCGAGACCCAACCTCGGGTGCTGTTAATACACCCATAAAAGACAGCACTTTAAATGGTTTAGTTACTAGGCAGCATAACAATGGCACTGAGTATATTATTTTAGAAGAGGTTATGAAACAATCTTTCCAGATGTGTAGTAGGTTTTCAACAGAACACAGATGTTATGGCCCCAAATGATTGTCCTCCTAGTAAGAAGAGGTGAGTCCCATTAGGAAAAAAATGAAAACGGAACATAAAATAATTTCTGTCACACATCAAAAATGAATAGAGAAAGCTGCTCAAGGTGTGGTGTCCAGTAATACCAAACAAAGCACAACAAGGTGGCTGAACCATGAATACATTTTTTACCAATGTACCAGGGCTAAAGAGCATAAAGCTCAGTAGGTGTACAATATATGTAACTCTACCCAGTCCCAGTTTGGTCTTATGTTGTGTGTGTGAAACTGGCATAATGGGTGGAGTTATGTATATTGTAAACTCAAATCATTACACAAAATTTTCTGAATGAGAGTATTTTACCCTTGCAAATCTCACATGCTCTTTGCTTCAGGCAAGGAAGGCAAGATGCACTCACCTTTGACTTTATGTACTCAGTGGAGTGGACTGAAAATCATGGAGTTGTTAAGAATAAAGCTATGGAATTTTTGATAAAAATAATGATCATTATTGTGTCCGCTACAGAGTGATAGTATATCTACATAAATTATGACAAAAGTATTGACCAAAAAAGTGAAGACTTCCACTGAGAAAAAGAAATGCTTCTTCTCAAGCAGTTCTTTAACAGATGACCTGCACAGGATTTGTTGCAAGGAGTCTATGAACAATATTAAAACAAAGAATGAAGTTGTTGCTCCACCATTTTTACATTTCTCCTATATATACATGTTATATTGGAGAAGTATCAATTAAGATGCAAGCCTGAGCAACCAACTTGTCAATGTTCCTTACCTGAGCTGTGTGGTAATGCAGGCACAGAATTCAAATGAGCTAGAAATATTGTATAAGACTTCTTCAGAAGCATTAGAAGGTAGAAAGAACCCCAACCTTTAAAAATATTGTTACTTGTTTTGATTGTGGTTTCAAACCAGATTCTGTTCAAACATGTGGTTTGAAAGTCTCGCCTACTATCATAATGTAGCAGCCACTCTAAGTAATAGCAAGAATAGATTCCCTTAACTACTCTTGATAATAGACATAATTTCACAATTTTTAAATACTTAAAACTTTATTACTCTCAAAATATATGCACTAAAATTATTAATAAAACTTAATGATGATACACAAACTTAGGAAGCTATGTGCTTGCAAAGATTTTCATGTAAAACAGTCACCCATAAGGCTGTAATGGATCCAAAAACATTGTACAGACTTGCTATTGTGGTAATGATCACAAATCTGTTTCTAAAGAAATGGTACGTGAGAAGTCTGTTTATACAAAAGGTGGAGGCATCTGGAACTCTTTTAATGATGCTAAATAAGATTTACAAGGATATGGCCATCAAAACAAGTACACTGGACTTGTATAGTAGACAGTAAGTCACACAAGCAATAAGCAGCCTGTATCTAAACCTCCCACTTCTTTGTCCCACTCATGTAGCCTTCTTCACTTCCTTCACAAATGGAGCCACATTCTACTGATATAATAAAGAAGATACTCAAGTTTAGTACAGGCCCATTACTAGTGTTACAAATAAGTATAAAGTATATGAGTTAATCCAGTGAACAGAGACACCACATCTGACATAAAAAAGAGCAACCCATAGGCCTGCAGTGCTTCAGCAAAAGAAAAAGCTAGTGATAAATCCAGAATTGTCAATTTTACTATCTATTTAGACTGTCTAAGAAGATCTCAATATATTTCACCTTCAGAGAATCAATTAGCACTTCAAAAAATTAAGCCACAGTTATTACGAAAGTACAATAAGATAGCAGCAACCTTGAAGTGACTGATTGAAGTAAAATTTAACAGACAGGATCACAGGATCACCATTAGACTTCTGTGTTCATCCCCAAGTGTTGCAAAAGTAAATTGTGAACACATGAGAAACTTTAAAATTTACAAATTAGTGAATAACCACGAGTGAATGAACAGGCTGAAGCTCTCCACATACACCAGACAACATGTCACTGGGGACTTGTGAGCAACATGTTACCAGAAATAGCAACATGTTGCTGAGTATGCTGACAAGATTACATTACAACCACATATTTTGCTAGCAACATGTTGATATTGTAAGGAGGGTTTAAGAATAATAGAATATTAACACTTCAGAGCTGTTGTGGCCAAGATTTAATTATTATGATCTTGCAGACAAATCCACCACCGGGTGGAAAATCACAAATGCATCATTTTGCCATGTTATTCAGTAGCTTAATCAAAGCAGTTAAAGGAATACTACACATTGAGAGCTGGAAAAAATTAATTACCATTATCATATCTCGGAAAAATAGCTATGTACAATGTAATTGCTAATACTTTTAGTTTAATTTTCAATATGGATCGCTCAACAACCACTTCACAAAATAATGATGATGGAGAATGATTACTACTAATCCAGCTGTGAAATAGGATCTAGAAGCCTGTTGCTATACCACCACTTGCCTGTTAATCATCAAATTTACATGTATCAAGCCCAAGGGAGGGCTGTGCACATATGCACATAATATGACCACATTAGCCAGCATTCAGAATTTCAAAGCAATTAGCATTGTACCAAACACAATGCACCAAAGCAACAATAGTATATGTAATCAAACTACCCATATTGACTACAATACTTGTAGTACATGTACAATACCTTATGTATTTGTTCAAATACTTAGACAGGGACAGGATCACTTATACAGGATATTACGATGCTTCGTACGAGATGTTAACTTCCTTGCATATGATGATCTTTGTAAACATCAGAGAAGACTTAGTATCCTTAGAACCTGCAGTGATAAATTGATAATACAAGTTAAAACACAATACAATGAAGCAATGTTAGATTTATACAATAAACTATATGTGCATTTTACAAAGAGCTATCATTACTCATTAGGTGTTCTAGTGTAGCCACACTCTCTCCCTTGCTCCTATTTGATCATTATAGCATATAGCATTATTTCAAAAATAAGTGGATCGGTCTTACATAAAAATTTGTAAACACATGCCAAAGTTTTACAAATTAATTTGATTATGCATAGTTCAAGAAACTATACAGTATTGCAAAGTTAAGATGAAAGAGAATTAAAACGGTTTACAAGTTTATGGCCTATGGGCACCGAAAATTTAAAAACAACTTTTTGTGTGATAATACATGCATGTATAGTTTACCATTTTATCCAGGCAAAATGTCTTTAATGCATGCTGGAGCCTTCTTCTGGTTTTTTGGAATTGTGCCTTCTGTCGTTCCTTTAAAATGCATTTGAACTCGTTCAGTTTCTATTACGAAAGTATTTGTATTATTTCATATAAACCATAAAATGTGGAACAAAACATTTTCCAGCTAACAAGCAAATTAATGAGGACATCACCTACCTTTCAAATTTATCCTGTATAGAACTGAACAAATAGTTTTGCCAGCCCCATCCAGAGCCTATACAGTCATGTGGGTCGCAGGCTGAACACAGGACCAAGATGATACAGACCACAGCCCGCTTTAACTACACTGTCAATTACAGTCCTTAGGATGAAGATAGTAACCGAACCGTCTGTGGTATGCCTCGTGAAATTTGAGAATAGGGATCCCATTGGGATAAGGCTAAAAGCTCCCGTTAGAAATTTATAATGAGCAATGCAGGAAGGCCGGTATAAGGGAGATAATCCATTGCTTCCCGGATCGTCTTGTGCGTTCGGGTAGTTCAAGCGGAGACTCTGACCAATCTCATATCCAGCTCTTGTACTGGTATTTAAGTTCATAGCCTCATAGTCGGTTAGCTAAAATTAAGAAGATAGCTGAGAGATGCTGAGCAACCTGTGTGTAATGAATCACTGAAGTAATGTTTTGATTAACACACATGGTGCTGAGCTCGCTGACGTGCGCTGACGTAGCATTTGAGCCACGCCTTTCTGCTGTCTAGATACAAGGTGTGGCTCACAAATTTGCAAGCTAGAATGGGGTGTGGAGCATCTACTGCAGGTAAAGCATAGTTTCAAGTCCTGGCCTTAGCCTCTATGATATTTATAGTAGATTCAAGCCATCAGCCAAGAAGAGTTGTGCCTTCAGCTCCACCACCACAACCAACTGTACAGGCTGAAATATATAGATCTACTTTTAAATATTTTCTTTAATAGGATGAAATAGTCTATGTTCCACCTTTACCCCCCATAAATGGACCTGCCAGGGGAGGACTTGAACATTAAATAAAAAGAAATATGTCATGTTCAAATCTGTCATGTTACCATTCTTTACATTGTGGGATTTAAATAAAATATAGATTTAATCTACAATTTATTTTGATATTCCTTTAACATGTTTGTACAGCACTACTTTCTCAAAATTTATGGCATAGAAAAAAAATCACTGAAGTAATATGGATGAATTGGCACTACAATAGTGATTAGGATTCATGTGCATATACTATAGAATCCATATGGAAGAGACAAGTGAGTCCTTATCATCTGTCCAGCTCATTGTATGTTACACATAAGGCCATAAGAGCAAAAGATCATGCAATGTTTAAAAGCACATGTTTACATAATTAACATATAATACAACCATGTACACAAAATTAATAATTATTTTTAAAAATGAAGCAGGTTAAATATAATTGCCTGTGAACTAAGTTTATGCTACATATTATAGATAGTTTACAGCAAAAATTGTTTGCATTAATCTAAATCAATGCAATGTATGTAGCTCATCAGAGTACTAGTCATTTGACTTATTTTATCTTTTATATCTTCAGCAGAAGGATCTGGAACCTCAGGCATAGCTTTGGTTATCAAAATCTTGCTGCTTTCTAAATGCTTTAAAAGGCATCGGACTTTCTCTATTAGAGATTTCATTGGTTCCTGAAGATGACCAAGAATTTGATGTATCTTTTCAAAATATTCCTGAAACTGCCTGTAGCGCTTTCCATCTCCCTGTAATTTCGAAGCTCTCTCACTCACATTCACTATGCCACTCATTAGGCTCTTGAATTCTTGATCCTTATCAGAGGTTGTTGGCAAGTCCATCATAGAAAAAAGATTGCCAACAAACAATGATATTGCATTTGGTCCAACGCTTCCCAAATCTTGTTCACTTTTTATAGCCCTTTTTTCACATTCATGTGCTACAAGCTTGGCACTCTTACTGACACTATCACAAGTCTCAGAATATTTATCATGAAGAACCAGACATTTTGAGGACAGCTGCCTCAGAAAATCTACTTTACGATCCGCTCTGGAATTTTGTAGCAGATCTTCAACTTTTTCAAAAATGGTTGCTACAGTTTGGTTGAAAGTAATGAAATCTTCATAAAAACTTTTTGCTTCTTTTAAAAACTTGACTTCTTTGTTAAGTTCAATATACTTCATTATGTCTTCCAAGGAATCTGTGACTGACTTGACACTTGTTCTCATTTCTTTAGAAACATCATCAATGCATTCATGGACACTCTCAGTTCTATATTTAACTGTAAATTTAAAGGATTTTTATCTTAATTTGGACTTAGAAACAAACTTACCGCAGATAGGATGAGTTGCTGGATCAACATGAAGTTCACCTATGTTAATAGTGAAAAATAATCATCTTCATTTTCAGCATGCTAACTGACCTAAAATGGTGCGCTCACATAGATTCCACAGTTTGCAATTATTTTGACTCAAAACACAGCATATCTCAATAAGATCTTCTTTTGCCTGATGGTGTTCTTTTCCACGAAGTTGAGCTACTAAGGCATTAACAAGGGTGGTTGCCTTTTCTTGGTCACTTGTGCCAAGTACAGTTTGAATTTTATCTTTAGTTTCTAAAGTCACAAACCCTTTGCTCTGCAATACAGTTGTCACGTCTAATATGGAAGGTCCAATAGCACTGATGAGCTCAAGCATATGTCTCCGAAAAACTTTTGAGACTTCATTTTCCATTTCTAGCCTAGTGCAGCATAGATATCTATGAGTGTAGTAGTAAATTAGGACTTGTTGACTTGGCCAATTGGCTCGCCAATTGATGACTTGTGTTCCCCTCGGGTGTTCCCTGTCTGTTAGTCTCAAATAGAAAGGTTATCACGTGACAGTCATGTGATTATAATACTTAATAACTAAAATAACTGCTAATTATTGCATTCCTTTCTGCAACAAATTCTGTAGCAGTGTCACCAGACCAGACCCTTCCCTCTCCTCTCAGCGAAGGGGCGGGCCCAGACTACCTGCCTGTGAATATCGTAGATAATAGAGTAAAGGAATACCTTTACTCTATTATCTATGATGAATATTCTTGCTTTGCTTCATAGTATCGACACCCACTCATCAGGGTGGGGCTGGAGTGATGAATGCGCATGCGTACAAAAACATCCACGTGTCAGCACGTGACAAACTGACACTGAGAGACTGAGAGGCGGAGGTGAAACAGGAGCTAGATGGAGAGTGAGAGAAAAGGAGCCTATTATTATTATTGATACTTGCTTGGTGAGCTCATAGTTCCACTATAGATATTATTTTATTTTTCTTGTTTTGTTTCTTTTCACTTTTACTCTAGGCCCTCTCCATTTGTTACTATGGCAACACTGAAGTAAGAGTGCATCCTTCGATGTACACGTAAATAGTTTACATGTATTGTACATTGTATGTGTCATGTAATAGGTTTCATTTCTCCCACCCTCTCTTTCTCTTCCTTCCTTTCTTCCTCTCTCTCTCTCTTCGCTCTCTTTCCCAGTACACACACAAGCTCCAGATGGTCACTTAAGAGTGGACAAGTAAAGTGAATGTAACATACAAAAAGGTTCGTTGTCACCATAACAACCATAACATCCATTCCAGACGCCCTCTAGCACCTTTATGGCTTCATTACAGTTTGGACTACAATGACAAAACTCAGTAAGTAGGTGTGAAAATTTATCATTATAATTTATCATTATTATTGCTATGCAGTAGTTTGGTTCAAACCTAGATGTGATATAGTACTAATGACTGGTTTTAATGTCATTGAAACTGTTAATTTCCCTAGGTAAGGAGGTAGAAAAGGAGAGAGATGAGTGATCAAATCAATATCTAATTTATTTTTGTCTCTGTATCTTTCCCTCCTTCCCTCCTCCAATGGTAGTTGTGCTATTACACTGGCTCACAAGTTTAATGACTTCACTTTCATGACCCATTAGGCTATTCCCTGGTTGCCTTCAGGTTCTTTAGAAAAGCTTTTCAAATAAAAACTGTGGATTACCTGGTAATGGCATGCACACACTGTGAATGCCAAATTACTGTTAATATTTATAGCTTTCGCTTACTGTCAATTACTTTCTCTATTTACAGTACCACCTACACCTTCTTCTTAATATTATTTTCTCTTCTTTCCTTTCTTTTTTCTCTCCCTTTTTCACTTCCCCTCTCTCACTTCTCTTTCCCTCTCCTATTTCTTGTCTTATGTCATCAGCCATTAAGGGAGTTACCCAAATCTGGTGTCAGTAGGTCACTATTTTACTTTTCAGCTGATGAGAGTTTATCATTAAAATAGTTCAAAAGAAAGAAGTATTTTACAGAAACTGCTACTAGTAAGAGCTATCATAAGGAGAGAGGGAGAGTATTATTATTATACATACATGTATACATTTGTATGTGTGGTTATTAGCAAAGAAAATAAGCCAAAATAAGATGTTATACAGAAAGTATTTGCAAATAGAATTATTATTTTTATTATTTTTATTTAGAATCTCATGCAAAACAAGAAAACACCGTTACCCAAGTTCTTTGGCCTCTATCAATTTAAAGTGTAAGGATTGCTTCCACACTGTACATTTATATCTCCATTAGCCTATAATATATATAGCATCAAAGCAAACAATAATTTTTCGTTATTATTGTTGTTGTTATTGTTATTATTATTTCTAGCATACATGTACATGTATGCAATATTAACTTTTGTCTGTTGCCACATCGTACACTAAATGTATAACAATAACTTAAATTTAACTAATATTGTGTACTTCCACCCCTTCACTCTGTCTCTTTTCCAGTTTGCATGCTACATGTACATGTGTACTTTCATTATTCTATCTCTTTTATCTCTCCTTAATTATACATGTATATTAATTCTCCTCTCTCTTCTCTCTCTCTCTCTCATTCTCCTTTCTCCCTCTCCTTCTCTCTCTCCCTCTCTCTCTTCTCTGTAGTGTGGTGGTGACTGTGGTGTTAAAATTACTTGATTTTAGAATACATTTGGCTGATGTAAGATATTGTTTTAATTGTATGTGTACTACATGTACATGTATATAGGTACACGCATGTAGTTTTAGTATAACCTTTGTAATAGTTAAGGACACCTTTATAATAAGGACACTTTTATAACCTCTGAAATGAGGGCACCTCTGTATTAAGGACAGGTAGTGTAGACCCAATTATGTCCTTAATAAAGTGGTTACACTGTACATATGCATATTTGTACATGTAGTATTACTACTTCAAAAATGAATGTTCTGATTAATTCTTTATCTTTTTTCCAGGGTCTGTGGTTGCATCCTGATAAATGTAAATTCAACGTTAGTAACTTAGTTCACAATTGTCAGGTACTAGAGTCTTTTGGTATGATGGGCTACAGCTTGTTATACTAGGAGTATACAATGTGGATGAGGCCATTAGAGTAAGTAGATGAGAGGAGGCAATAATTGTAACAAGTACATAATTATTGTGTATAGTCAGTTTCAGTTGAGTTTGACCAATTGTTTTCATGATTAAAATGTCACATGTAGCCCCACCCACACACAAATAAAATTGCTGAAAACTTCATCATGTTCATCTCTTCTTGTTGTAACTTGTTTATTCTCCTCTTTTGGTCACTGATAACCCTGCAATTGACATAAAGGATCTTTGTCCTTGCTATTACCTGAAGAAAGAATCGAGATATTGTATAGCGCAAAATTTTTGAGGGCTGTAAATTTTGCAAATTTTCCTGAATATCTATTACGCAATTAAATTTAATTGCGTGAATTTGTTTCATCCACCATCTTGTGCCCTAATAATTTGATTTTTGCAATTTTTTTTTGCGAATCTTCAAAAATTGTGAAATTCACAAAATTTACAGCCCTTAAAAATTTTGTGCTATACGGTATTCAAAATTTTAACTGAGTTTCTGAGAGGCAAAAGTGAAGACAAATAAAGAAGGCTTAGAGAGGCACAGCAGACTAAGTGAGACTTTTTCTGGAGTGCAAATTCAATTATATCTTGGCCTGGAGTGTTCCTTTTGCTTTATTTGATTTTTGAATAATGAAAACATAATTATTGACATACCGTATAGCGGAAAATTTTTGTGGCCTAAAATTTTCGTGGATTTCGCGTTTTTTCAAAACCCATGAAAATAAAATCTGCGAAAATCGATTTTATACGGTTTAAGATGGCCGAATTGTAGAAAACCACAAAAATTAAAGCCACGAAATTGATTTTTGGACCGATCCACGAAAATTTTGGGCCACGAAAATTTTCTGCTATATGGTATTTAATGAGATGTAAATGAATTCACAAAGCTTCACGTCATGTAACATCATGGCAGTTCCCTTTTATGTTGACCAGAAGAACCTTTTAAGAATCTTCCAGAGTACCTAGAGACTCCAAAGTTGGTACAGATTTTGGAAAAACCCGTTTTGCAACTATACCAAGTTTTAAGCTGCTAGCATAAATTATAGAGAAGTTATAAGGGTGGGTCAGTGGTCAAACTCAACTGAAACCGACTATACTGTACAAGATGGTTTATTGGCGAGGAATTAATACTGGCGATTGTGGATCTATAAAAAATCACCAAAATAAAATCTGCCACTTTGTTTCAATCTGAGCATGCTCAATGGCTTATAGCACAAAATTGCCAATATAATTAACTTCCAGAGGCAAATTCATTAAATATTACTTAAAATAAATGTGAGTACTTGACAAACATACATGTAAATGTAGCCTCTCAAATTAACAAACAACTCCATTTACATTGTACCTAACAGTACCTAGTGTACCAATTACATTCCTTACTGTATAAAATAACCTCCACATAAATGACACTATATATAACACTAACAGAGCAACTTTCTTACACCAAGTGTCTATGGCTATGCATGTATACATTCTTTACACTGGGGATGAGAGATGTGTACAGGTTCATGTACAGTGAGAGTGCATGAGAGTGAACTCATACGGGTACATATTATTGTATGTTCAATTGTTCGTATACATTTCAGTTTTATATACTGTGCATGTAGTTTATTAGTGACCTACTTTGTAATAATCAAAATAACAATAATACTTAACGCGCCTTTTGTCGAGGGCTGTAAATTTTGCGAATTTGCCTAAAAATCTATTTTGCGGATTTAATTTTTGTGATTTTACACCGTCAGCCATCTTGGACTGTAATAATTTGATTTTCAAGGAAGTATTTTTTTTTTGCAAATCTTCACAAAATTGAAATTTACAGCCCTCAAAAAAGGCACCCTATGGTAATACAGATACATGTACATATACATGTTAGAAATAATAGTATTATAATGTACATTTGTCAATCTATCCTAATTATTATTGATATTTTTTTTTAGTTTGTGGTATTCTTATTCATATTTGTGGTTATAGGTGTCATATAAGTTGTGATGCAAGCACTGTTACTGCTGTTGTTGTTATTGATTTGTTCTGTTCAGTCGTTATTGTTCTCTCTTTGATGCTCTCTCAGCTCTGGTGTATTCTCTTTCTCTCTCTTTTTGTTTTTTCTCTTTGTATTAACTTGAGTTTACATCATATTTATTGTCAACTACAGTCTGCGACTATCCCTGCCAATCCAAATATCTTAACAATACATGTGTGTGTGCCTTTGTTTACATTTATAACATACATGAATGCTTGGTCATGTACATGTGTATTAGTTATTATATTGATTTTCTGTCTTTGTACATGTACTTATATGTATATCGAGTGACATATTTTCCAAATATAATATACAGTGTATTGTACATGCATGTAGATTGAAAAGATAACAATGAAATAGGATAAAGCTAGATGAAATTGAAGTGCATGCATGGGTTACTGGTTGAACTTGTTGTACCAGAAAATACATGTCTATTGTAATTTTTATTGATTCCATTTCATAGCAATTTTAATTAATTAGTGGGTGTGTCAATTTCCTTATTAGGCAAGTGAACCACCTCCCACTTCATGGGCTCTCACCACAGAAACAGTGGGTGAACCAGCAACAGCTGTTGATTGAGACTCTACAGGAGAGAGGCAGACGAGTAAGAAGGATTGGAAACATTTTTACAATCAAGGATTGAAGCTAGAATATTTTAATATATTTAATCCTGAGACCTTAACCAGCGATACTAACCTACAGGACTTCTCCACACCTGGATACCATATGTGAAAGGGAGAAACTACATGTACCTTATAATAAATTACATTTTCTGATACATATTGATGTGCTTATGCTGTGTAGAAAGTTTGAGCTGATTTTGACTGTAGTCTTTCAAGTTACAGCCATTTTAAAGAAGATGCAATTAATGAGCCTTGTTTTCTGTAGAATTGGATTTCAAATGAAAATAAATGTCATTGATGTACAAATAAATTTACACACAGTTTCTCGTTCATGTAATGTATAGCTGAGTCCTTGACAAAGGAACACCCGTTTCTTGAAGAACTCTATCACCAATAAAAACTCTCATTATTGACACACACAGCAAACAAAGAGCTGAATGAATCACTGGTCAAAGAAAAGAAGGTAATGTACAGTGTATATACAGTACATTAAAGTTGAATGATAATAACATAGAAATTAAAAGTTAATGAAGTACAATATACACACGTGGATACACGTGCATGAAAACACTGATGAAAACCACCAACTTAACTGTGGAAAGGGAAACATAAACATTTTGGTGGTGCATGCAGGCATGCATGCATTCATTTGCTGTAAAACTATCTTATAAAGACTATAATACCAACCCACTTTAATAATTAAAAAAGACACTAAATTTAATTAAATTTTATTCCAGATTGCTTTTGCTTGCCCCTTTAATGCAATACATTCTATAAAATCAATGATAATAATGAGTACAGTATAATTGTTGTAATTATGTGTGCATGTGCATGTATGAATGAATGTCAATGCTCCTTTAATACAGGTATCAATTCCTTTGTTGAATAAATGAGTACTTTGGTATGGTATTGCCCACCTCTATTTTTGAATTGCTTGTGATTCTCATTGATTATCGCCTATAATACTCATATTCACTGTTTTTAGCTTTGCTGTTATTATTATTATCAAAAAACAACATGTAGCTAACAGCTACATATATATTAGCAAAACTCAATTTATTTAATAATTTTTTAATTAAGAAAAAGGCCTAAATCTTTTATTAACAGGTTATAGAGTTATACAATTATCTTCAATGTATAATTTAAGGGTATTTAACTGCAACAGAATTAACAGCCCAATCTCCATACCAGTCACCATCATCCCAATTGATTTCAACTTCTATCCTGCCACCGAAGTTGTCTTCAACTAGAAAAGGATTCATCAAATAATCCATATCTCTCCAATAATTATTCGTATACTGAGCCATATATAAATGCTTATCACGCAACTGCACCATAAGTATTCCCGCATTCCAGGCTTCCTTGATAACTTTAGAGGTAAAATCTAAGCTATGTTGTATACAGTCACAATGAATAAAGATATCTTTGCCATTTTCCTCAACATCATGTATTACCATTTGGTTGTGCGAGTATCTCCCCCCATCGGCTATTTTTATGTTACTTGTTACTCCATATTCAACGAAAACACCGAACTTGTGTCCTTCAGAAGACATTGACATTGAGATCCATGAATTACCACCTGGTCCAGTGAACTTTATTCCTTTGTACTTGAGTAATTTCACTAATTTCTGTGCATCTGGGAACACATTTTCCGCGTACTTCAGCACAAACATCAGATGACAAGGAACGCCTAAGTTTGTTTTTTCTTCAATTATTACATCACCATGAGAAACATAGAATCGTTCAACGTTAACAGTAAGTGGTGTATCATCATTGGTCTGCTTGCCATTCAGCTTAGCGATCCACCTGTGCTCTCCTTCAGCAATACCACCTGGTACTGTGAAATATAACGGAGCTCTTACATCTGAAGTAATTTTAGGAGGTAGTGTTATGTTTTTGTTAGCAGCATGGTCTATATCATGATGGAAACCGTTATCCTTTGTAGATATTTCCCATTTAACGTTTTCTCCATAATTCAACGAATATATGATGACATTATCTTGCACGTATGCTATTATATCCTCTTCACTTGCATCTCCATTGTAGTTGACCGAAACGAATACACTGACCTGCATCACACCATTATTATAGACTTTGGTGGTTTGCCTCGAACCAACGTAATCAGCATATATATTGACCAGTATGAGAAGGGCTGGATCAATAGCTGACATTGTAAACATCTTGTCTCTTCAATTTACACTGCAAGGTTTATTCCTCACCAGTCCTCTCTACTGGAAATGGTCTCATTACTTTTATACAGTAAGAGGAGGAAAGAGGAAGGAAACATGTTCCTCTGATTCACTTATTGTTCTCAAGAGAGACAAGACAAAAGGCCTAATGCACTATGTATAATTTGTATTACGTGTTGTCAAACAGTACAAGTACTACTATAATGTTGGGAAAACAAGCTTGTATTTGCTGCACTAATAATAGTCATGGTAAAAGTAAAGCCTGGTCATAGTTGAGAGGATAACACAGCGTTAGTATGGTCAAAACTAAAGTCATGCTATAGAATTGTAATTTCATTTATCACATGCTATCCAGTTAACCAACATAACTTGCAGGTTATGAATACCATGTCACTGGATGCAGATTTGGGTGAGGAATATAAACATGTAAGGCTGTGAATAGGATAATCAAACTTGATTATTGGCATTCACTAGATCTCATTTCTTATTTAATTGTATATTCTATTATATCAACAAAGAAAGGGAGCATTCTTACATATTGCATCATATACATAGAATGTAGATTGCCCTCATAATTGCACATGTGTAATGATGCTCATGACCATACAGCATGCATGAGATTGATAGTATTGTTTGCATAACATACACATACAGTATAGTAAATGAATGTATACCCTCATGACTGCTCACAATAGATCATTGTCTAATGATGCTGATGACTCATGAAAGAGGACTAAGATACTGATTAAACATGGTTGTCTAATATGGTGCCCTGTGTGTAGTTAGTAAACTATGATAGTCTTCCCTTTGTGCATTACATGTACATTGTACCTCTATTGAGTTTGTATTATGTACATGTACAGTATATGATTGTGTGCATCTTCACTATCTTTCTTGTTCTCTTTCTTTTTATTAACCTTCCTTTTTCCATTCTCCCTCTCTCATCTTCTCTTATTTCTTTTCTTCTATCTTTCTTCTTCCTTTCCTCTCTTCAGGTTGTTATAATCTGACACTAGATCTATAGGCTGAAATTATATTAAGGTTATTTTTGTGAATACCGGTGCAAGAACACTCTTATATTAGTCATCCATAAATTGTAAATAATCCTAGCAGACTATAAACTGTCTTACTGCACCAGCTCAAGTTGGCAATTGGCAGGTATAGATTAACCTTTTAAAGCTAGAGAGAGGGAATATGTTAATTGCTATTACATGATGTATGATGTACATGCTTGTACATATTATTTCTATAATTGTAGGTATACTCAGAGAGCTATGTTGTTCTTGCTAATATTGAGCACACAGGACTGATCACACATGGGAGATACAGCCGGGAAGAAAACCTTATTAGGTACCATGTATCTTATATGATAGCACAATACTGTGTAGATGGTTAATTTCGAAGATAATAAATTTCGCGAATGACCTATATCCAGAAGTTTTTGGAATTAGTTTTTGCAAATTTCCACTATGCTGCCATCTTGTACCATATTAAATTGATTTTCAAGGAATTTGATTTCGCGAATTATGAAAAATCTGCAAAATTCACGAAATTTTCTATCCTCGAAAATAACCTGCTATACAGTATTTGTTTTGACATAATGTAAATTTGTCCCTTTTTTGTGTGTGTATGTGTGTATTGCTTGTTATAGCCATTGTAAAGCTACTGCATTATTTGTTGGCCTCGCCCAGCTTTGCGTAGTTGGCCTCGCCCAGCTTTGCGTAGGCGAGGACTAGGTACTCAGTTTGTCTGTCTGTCTGTCATTCATTCATTCATTCTGTGTGCTATCTTTGTCTTTGAGAATGTATATCTTTGCAATTGCGCACTCTAAATCTGTGAGAGCTTCTCTTCTGTTTGGAAAAGTCTTGCTTTACTGCCTTGAGATGTTTAGAGAGCAGCTCTAGCTAGTAGAAGCTTTTTAACTCACGAGAAAATGCCCAGCAATAGCGGTAGTACTCTGGAGGTAAATGAGACTATTTTCTAGTAGATCAAGACTAACTATTGTTTTAATATGTGTGGGACTCTTTAAATCTTTCTTGTTGGTGAGTTATAACTTCTTGAATTTCAACCCGAGTGAACTGTAGGTAGTCTTAAGGTCATAAACTCTCTCAAATCACTCAGTTTACATCTAGGCAATAGTATTTATGCCATTATAATGTCATAGTGTTTATAAGAAGAGAAAAATCTGAAACTTCCTTCTTGTTGCAGGGCTTGCTGCCATCAAGTAAATAATTAATAGTTGACTTGATGACGTCATGCCACACCTCCAATTTTGGAGTAGCTGGAGTAGCTTTAGATATGGAGTAGCTTGCAATGCTGCTACTTCTACAGGTATTCTGGTAGATCTATGCAAGCTAGCTGTTGTCTCTCAGGAGTACACTTGTTTTATATATGCAATTTGTATGTTAAAGTTTCTTGTAATTTTGATAATCAAACAGTTATAGGGGTGAGGCCACACACTGTAGGTGTCTCATTTGCTTTGTGTTTAGTACATGTACATTCAAAAATGCCCACACGACTGCTCACAATAGAGCATTGTCTTCGACCATCAGCGTGCATGAGATTGATAGTATTGTTTCCATAACATGCACATACAGTATAGTAAATGAATGCATGCCCTCATGACTGCTCACAATAGAGCATTGTCTAATAATTATCATAACTTACATGTATTAGTGAGGACTAAGATACTGATTGAGCATGGTTGGTACTACATATGTGTGGTTAGTAAAACTATGATAATCTTCCCTTTGCCCATTACATGTACCTCTATTGAGTTTGTATTATGTACATGTACAGTATATGATTATGTGCATCTTCACTATCTTTCTTGTTCTCTTTCTCTTTATTTTTCCCTTGACCTTCCTAATCTCCCTCTCTTATCTTTTCTTATTTCTTTCCTTTTGTCCTTCTCCTTTTCCTCTCTTCAGGTTGTTATTATCTGCTACTAATCCTTAATCATTTTTAATGTCATTTTGTGAATGCTGATTTAAGAAGACTCTCAATGGATATAAATTGTAAATCTTTGAGTTGTCATTACCAGCTCAAGTCCAGTGGTCATTGGCAGGTATAATGTAGATTAACCTCCTGGGAGCTAGAGGGGGATAATTATGTTAACTATTACATGTATCTCATGATGTACATACAGTTTCTAATTGTAGGTATTATCGTATACTTGTTGTTACTAATGTTGAGCACACCATTCTATATATAGGACTGATCATACACATAGGGGAAAATACAGTCTGGAAGAACCTCAATAGGTACACATGCACTAGCATTATGATAGGCATGAAAATATTTTGTTTGAATTTAAAACTTTTTACTATTGATATAACGTATATTTGTCCCAGTTTTGTTTGTGTGTGTTTGTGCATTGCTATAGTCATTATGGCCAATATATACTGTAGATGCTGCATTATTTGTTTGCTTTGTGTTTGGTACATGACATGTACATTCAAAAATGCCCTCATGACTGAATATATGCCCTCATGACTGCTCACAATAGGCATTGTCCAATGATGCACATGACCATACAGCATGCATGAGATTGATAGTATTGTTTCCATAACATACACATACAGTATAGTAAATGAATGTATGCCTCCATGACTGCTCA